TTTTGGACTATACAGCAGGGGACACATTATACAGTGATTGTTTTTCATTTAGCCTGTATATGTTCTGCAGAATCTGCATTAAACTGGATTTTCCAAAGTACTGAACGGATCTGGGTGAATTTTGGATATGTGGTTCACCCAGATCCCCCGGTTCCAAGGATATACTTTTTATGGGGTTATTGCATGTTCTGGGGTCCCTGTGTGTTTTATGAAATTGTAATGTTTCTGGCCAGCAGATAATTGAGCTTTGTGTATTGTGGAAACTCAATTATCTAGCCTGGCCCAGAGGAGGAGTTTTGTGTTGCATAAATTGTGAGTTCTGTGTGCCAGTAAATCAGTCTTGTTCCAGCATTAAGCCTTGGCTCATGTTTGGGGGAAGGGATACCTACACTCTGGGGATTGTTATAATCACTTACTCCCCAGAGGCAGCTCTTGCAATAGCTTGATTTGTTCCTGTTCCTGCTCTCTGGGGAAAGAGAGGTTCACCCACTGGAAGCTGGATCCTGGCCTTGGGTCCAGGGTGGGTGGAAACAGCAGAGACCCCGGCGCAGTTGCATCGCTGGAAGTGGGGTCTGCAGTGCTGATGGTGTCGGTTGGAGTGCTTGGAGTCCTCAGCGAGCACTAGGAGCATCGATTGGCGGAGGTACTCAGTCGGAGTGCCAGCGTTCCGTCACAATTTATTTTTGTAAGATACTCCTGATAAAATCATATCATGGAAAAAAAAATGTAAATAAGAGTTCCCAAAACAGCCATGGAAAACATTTTGTTTTCACTTCTGTTTTTTTTTTTAAATAATTTTTTTGACATTTTTGAAATTGCTAACATTAAACAAATTACATATTTAAATGCTAATGAGCATCCTTCAACGCCACCTTTCCCTAAATGCTTGCAATTTCAAATTAAGCAGAAACAAAAGTGGGTAAATGAATAATTCTGGATCTGCACTATAATTGTGCATCGCCCTAATGGAGGGAACATTTTGAAGATGAGCATTTATTTAATCAGCAAATATAGATTGAGATACGTGTTGTAAATCAATGTTGATTAATTTGCTCATTTTATAGGTGCATAAACCTGTTCTTTTGGGACACCTCCTTCCATAATGAAATCATGTATTGCCCATCTGTGAGTACAGAGTGGGAAACGGGTTGTAAGGGAGAGTGCATGCCTGTTTAAACTGTGTAGGACTCGAACAGTGTATGGTGTGTGTGTGTGAGTAGGGGTCACTGTGAGTGGGTTCAAATTATTATAGCCATCAGTAGGAGTAAATGTCAGTGACATCTAGGGAGTATAGTGGTAGGTTCTAAGGAGGATCGCATTCGGTAAGTCTGTGTGAGTATTTTCTAGGGAGGATAGCTAGGGGTAACAGGCAGTGTGAGTGGGTTCTTGTGAGGATAGCTAAGGGTAGGATTCAGTATTAGTGGGTTCTAGGGCTTAGGGTAGCAGTCCTTGTGAGTGGGTACTAGTGAGGATAGCTAAGGGTAGTTGCCAGTGTGAGTGGGTTCTTGTGAGGATAGCTAAGGGTAGTAGTCAGTGTGAGTGGGTTCTTGTGAGGATAGCTAAGGGTAGTAGTCAGTGTGAGTGTGTTCTAGCGGAGGATAGCTAAGAGTAGCAGTCAGTTTGAGTGGTTTCTAGGGAAGATTGCTATGGGTAGCAGTCAATATTAGTGGGTTCTAAGGAGTATATATAAGGGTAAGTAGTTGGTGTGAGTGGTTTCTAGGGCGGATAGCTAAGGGTTAGTAGTCCGTGTTAGTGGGTTCTTTGGAGGATTTCCAAGTGTAGCCGGGTTCTAGGGAGGATTGCCAATGGTAGCAGTTACTGTGAGTTGGTTCTAAGGAGGATAGCTAAGTTTAGAAGGCAGTGTAAATGAGTTCTAGGGAGGATTGCTCAGGGTAGCAATTAGTGTGAGTGGGTTC